GAGCCCACAGCCCACCTGGGCCCTCTCGCAGCCGGAGGCAGGGCTGCCGTTGCCAGGCTCGCCCCTCCCAGGCCGCCGTGTTTTCATTCCCAGGCCTGGGAGCCGGCAGAGAAATAAGCCAAGGTCAGAGCAAAGGCCTGGACCCATCTCCATGGCTCAGCTGCGGCTGCTGAAAGAGCAGCTCGCGCACAAGAGGCTCCCGTCCCCCGATGAAAGACGCACACCTCAGCTTTGTTTGCCGTCTAAAAATCACGCGCACGGCTCCCCCTTACAAGGAAGTATTTACTTTGCGAAAAAAAAGAAAAGTATTGTGTACAGTTCTGGGTAGAGAAACAATGCGAAATGCACCCGGCGCAGGCTGGTGGCCGGGGCCTCAGGCACGCCGGTCGGCCGGCTCCTGGCCAGGGTCAGCGCGGAGCTTTGGGCGAAGGACTCGTTCTTTGTGGCTGGGTTTCCCGGGCAGGAGCCCCGCTCAGCTCAGCCGCAGAGCCGGGGCTGGTTTTACTGCAGTAAGTAGGACTGTGGCTGTGAGTGCAGGATGGGGCTTCGGGTGTGCTGGGTGGTTCGTGCAAAGCGACACAGAAATGCTTAGCGCAGAGAAACATCATCAACGTTTTAGCAAGCGCTTCTCCCTCATTTTTTCAACCAGAAATGATCAGAAAAAAATTTCCCAGCAAAATATTTCCAGGAGAAAAAAGAGCCAAACCTGTAAGTGAAGGCTTTTCCCATATTCTTCTGATGGGTTCTTTTTATTATGAGTGATCCAGCTGATATTGTTCTCAGCCTAGCATTTCCCCAGTGTCTGCTTCTAAGGCACACACTGTGCCCGTGGCATGAGGGACAAGAGGAAGAGGGAAGTTCGAGGAATCTAGCTCCTCTTTCTCCTCGCAGCATTAGCAGAGGGAGCCTGCTGTGGTTTAACATATCCCCCGCAAAAGCTGCTTTCATCCTACACCTAAATACCATGAGGAGTGAACTTCCTAAAGCCCTGGAGAAGTCTAAATATAGAAGCCAATCAAGGGCTGACTTCCTAGAGATGAGAAGTACCAAGAACAGTTTCTTGATCAAAAGTTGTAAGAGTCCATATTGAAATAAAACGTCTGTTTCGGTGCTGAAGCCTGTGCAGGAGTAATTGCAGAGGTGGGCTGCGCGCGGCGCCCGCCGCTCCCTCTGCCCGTGGTACCCCGGTGCCGGGGAGGCACCCCCGGAGGCAGCGGGAGGCGGTGGGCTGCCCGGGGAGAGGGACTCAAGGTGCCACCTCTGAAGCACCCGATGGGGCCGTCTGTGATGGCACTGCAGGATTTCATCCTTGGCTGCATGTCGCAGTTTCTGTCCAACCGCTTTCTCCTGTGCACGTTCGCTCCCCATTACAGCTGGTAATTTCTTTCAGAACAAAAATTTCCTTAGAACAAAACACAACGTGTAGGAAGTTCGAAAGGCACCTTAAAGAGAAAAGAGCAGCTCAGATCGAACACAAACCCGAGTTTGCTAATCTCGGAACAGGTACGTGGCGGCAGCTTTGCGCGTGCAGCAGAGGGACCCGCCAAGGGTTTACGGTCAGGGCAAGGGACGGATGGCTGATTGCCGCCGAGACAGCGGCGCTGGGGAACCCCGGCGGGGCTGGGGAACTCCTGGTCACGCCGTGGGGCTGGGGAACCCCGATCCTGCTGCAGCTGGGGGACAGTGGCCGTGCCCCGCTGCTGGCGGCGGGCAGAACGATGCTGCCTCTGTGCTGGGGGGCAGCTCGATACAGCCAGCCCCCACCTCCCTTTTGGGTGTCCCGGGGATGAGGGTGCAGATGGGGCGGGAAATTCGGGTTTAAGATGCCCAGAGACCCTGCGCTGGGGGTAGGGGAGATGCTGTGGTTGGGAGATACGTGTGGGCAGCGCGAGGAGCGGTGTGGGCAGAGGGTCTGCTCCTGACAGAGGGTCTGCTCCCTGATGGAGGGTCTGCTCCCTGACAGAGGGTCTCTCCCGGGCAGAGGGTCTGCTCCTGGGTAGAGGGTCTGCTCCTGACAGAGGGTCTGCTCCTGGGCAGAGGGTCTCTCCCGGGCAGAGGGTCTGCTCCTGACAGAGGGTCTCTCCCGGGCAGAGGGTCTGCTCCCTGATGGAGGGTCTGCTCCCGGGCAGAGGGTCTGCTCCCCTGACAGAGGGTCTCTCCCGGGCAGAGGGTCTCTCCCGGGCAGAGGGTCTCTCCCGGGCAG